TGCCAGACTCTGGAGTTTTCAAGGGGGCAGGGATTTTGGAGGCTGGAGTGGAGGGCACTTGGGCATTGAAGGGGGATACTGTTTGCTAATTGGTATGGAAAGAGTTCAAGACTTTGTGCAACCTACACAGTTATTCTGTTACTGCCGACCACATGTCAGCATGAGTAGAAGATGTAGAAATCACTCAGGTTGGGAGGGAACCCAGCCTCATTTGTAAGAATCAGTCTGAAGAGCTGGTCTCCTTTAGCTCCCAAGTTATTCCACCCACCCTGGGCTTAAAGCAATCAAAGTGCACCCACCATTCAGATGAAGGATTAAGGGTGAGAGGTGACTGCCCGATGAGCTCTGCCTAAGATCAGGAACTTCGCTTGTGATGTAATTCATTTCATTCCCACAGTTGTCCTGGGAAGCATGAAAGCAGTGGTGGTTATTATTTGCTCCCATTTTAAAGATGAAGAAACTGAGCCCCAGAGAGACTTGGTACTTGCTTCCAGGATTTTGTAGCTGGTCAGCGATTTCAGAAGTTTATACAACCACTCAGTTGAAGGCGAGGAGTGGCATTTGGAGGCCTGTGGCCATCTCCAGTTTATGCAGAGGGGAACTTTTAACACTCAGAAAGAAACAGGGAAAGGATCTAGCCTCAAAGTGTGTTTGGCTCGCTGACTTCGCTCAGTTGGCCTCAGCACCTAAGTTCACCAGGGCCTTGGACTGACACATCCCATTTGTTTCCTGCCACCTTCCTCACCTTGACCCCTAGGACCCCCTTTGCACTCCCTGATTGGCTCCCTGTCAGCACGAGCCCAGGGTCCTCCTGCCCCATCCTCCACACTCCCTAGCAGGTTTGAACCACCTCTGGATTAGGGAGGCGCTAATGATTTGATATCTTAGTCTGGGTTTTAATTGACCTCTTAGCTAAGTTGGAAAAATTCCCTCTCTCAAATAGCTCTTTTATCTCCCGGCCCCTGCCACCACTTTAATTATACTAAGTCCTCATCAGATGCCTCAAATGAAAGGGGAAAAACAGCAAGAAGACAGGATACTGGGACAGGCTGAGTTTCATTTCTAGACCATTTGGAACTCAATTGCTTGTTATCACCCTCTGAATCACTAGCTTTTACCTGGAGATTAAAAGGCATCCCCTGAGGCCACTTGAAATGAACAGTAAGGCATACAGGAGCTTAATCTTCTCAGTGGTCATGAAGCCTGGGTTTTATGGAACATTGCCTTCTCCAGCTTCCAATTTCCCATCTCAGGCCATCCATTCCCTTGGCAAAAATGGTGCCCTGGGAAAATTCACACCTCCACAAAGTGGTTAATGGTGCATGTGACAGTTTCAAAACCATAACTAGAATGACATGTTCCCAACATTAAATTAACCTTTGGTGGAAGGACACCACTGATTAGACTTGAAACTTTTGAGTTCCAGATGCTCTCAGGGCGAATACTTCTGTTCCATCCATCCATCCATTCATCCACCCCTTCCTTCCTTCCTCTCTCTTTCAGTAAAATTGAATACTTTTAAAGTTTTGCTTTTAATATAAATTATAAATCTTAAAACTTTAACATCTGTGTCTTTCATAAAATTGGAAAAGCCACAAGTTGAAACAACATACTAATGTATAATTCAAGAACAATTATAGAGAAAGAACGCATGTTTAATACAACTATTTTATATCCAGTGTGGTGTCACAGAACCCTGATACGCAGTTTCTTGGGGTTTGGAGGAGTCTAACAAGGCTTAATCTTCTGAGGGCTGGTACAGCTTAGCTGTATGAATTTTGGATTAAGAAACATCAGTGCTAATAAAATGTTCATCTTTAGCTGTCTGTATTTACCAACCTCTGAGAGTTGGTGCTGGACAGGGAAGCCTGGCATGCTATAGTCCGTGGAGTTGCAAAGAGTTGGACATGACTGAGAGACTGAACTGAGCTGATTTACCAACCTGGATGGGTTTTGATGAAAGGTGATGGACCCAGGGTGAGAAAACCTGACAATGGCTGCGGCAGTTATAACTGATGTCTGATAAACAGTCACAAGCCAGGCACTCTGCTGATTGCTTTCCAGGCATTATTTTACTTAGTCCGCCCCACAACTCAAGGTAGGAGATGCTATTACTGCCCCATTTTACAGATGAAGATGTAGAGGTTTGGGTGCCAGGAACTTGCCCACAAACTTGCCCACCTGGCTTGCCAGGTGGTGCTAATGGTAAAGAACCCACCTGCCAATGCAGGAGATCCAAGAGAGGGGGGTTCGATCCCTGAGTCAGGAAGATCCCCTGGAGGAGGAAATGGCAACCCACTCCAGTATTCTTGCCGAGAGAATCCTATGGACAGAGGGGCCTGACAAGCTACGGTCTATAGGGTCACAAAGAGTCTGACACGACTGAAGTGACTTAGCACACATGCACGCAACTTGCCCACAAATAGGCATGCTGCTATTACATTGCTTTGTAACCTTGGACCATTTGTTAGTGGAATTCTTAAGTCGTTGTTCAGTCACTAAATAGTGTCTGACTCCTTGCAACCCCATGGACTACAGCACACCAGGCTCAGCTGTCCTCCGCTATCTCCCAGAGTTTGCTCAGACTCCTGTCCATTGAGTCGGTGATGCTATCTAACCATCTCATTCTCTGCTGCCCCCTTCTCCTCCTGCCCTCGATCTTTGCCAACATCAGGGTTTTTCCAGTGAGTTGGCTCTTCACATCAAATGGCCAAAGTATTGGAACTTCACCTTCAGCATCAGTCCTTCCAATGACTATTCAGGGTTGATTTCCTTTAGGATTGAGTGGTTTGATCTTGCTGTCCAAGAGATTCTCAAGAGTCTTCTCCAGCACAATTCGAAAGCATCAATTCTTCAGCACTCAGCCTTCTTTATAGTCCAACTTTCACATCCGTACATGACTACTGGAAAAGCTATAGCTTTGACTTTATGGACCTTTGTTGGCAAAGTGATGTCTCTGCTTTTTAATATGCTGTCTAGGTTTGTCATAGCTTTATATGGCTCTAAAAATGTAGGTCAGACTTTGACCTTGGCAGCTCCCAGGCAGAGTATAGCCTGCAGGAGAGTTTTGGGTTGGCCTTCACAACATTATTAAAACAATGTGAATGATGTGAAGTTTGGAAGAGTCAGTTTGGGAAACAGCAGTATCCGCTACACTGAACTCAGCCACCGTAGGGCCTGGCAATTCCACTCCTAACTCTTCCCGGAAGATGGTGAATACCACTGCCAACCAAAAACTTGCAGACCAGAAGAGTGTCCCCGGCAGCTCCATTTGGAGTAGCCCAAACATGGAACTATCAAAATGCCTGTCCACATGGGTATATTGATTCCTCTCTTGTCATATAGTAGAAAATTCTACACCAGTAAAGATGACCGACCCTCCTCTATAAATCAGTATGAATCTCACAAGTACCTTTGAATGAAAGAAGCTAGGCATGAAAGAATATACAGTAATTGATTGCTTTCATAGAAAGGACTAGAAAGGCAAAGCTAACCTGCGCTGATGGAAGTCAAAATTGAGGTTACCTTTTCAGAATGAGAGGAGAATGTAATCATGTGATCAGTGAGATGGCGCGTGAGAAGGGGTTTGGGTTGCTGGCAGGGTCCCTGACTTCTCTGAGTAGTGGTTACATGAGTCCATTTGCTTTGTGGAAATTCGTGAATCTCTGTGCTCTTTTTTTTTTTTTTTTAATGTAGCCCTATCATTTTTTGGAGCAGCTTTGTTTGAGATATAAGTTACATATCTAAAATCCACCCAGGAACCGTGTAAAACTCACTGGATTTAGTACGTTCACAGAGTTGTGCCACCACATCTAATTCTGAAGCGTTCTCATCTATGCCAATGGCAAGCTGGTGCTGCCTGCCGCCACCCACTGTGGACCCCCACGCTCAGCCCCGGGCACCCAGTGATGTGCTGTGTGGGTCACACACTCTCTTTTATTGGCTCTTTTGTAAACTGAGGTAGAGTTGATTTTCGGTGTTGTGTTAGTTTCAGATGGACAGAAAAATGACTCAGTTGTGTATGTGTATGTATGTGTGTGTAAAATATGTATTTTTTTTTCAGATTCTTTTCTGTTATAGGTTATGACAAGATGTTGAATATAGTTACCTGTGCTATACATCAGGTCCTTGTTGGTTATCTATTTTTACATATAGCAGTGTGTATCTGTTAATCTCAAACCTCTAATTTGTCTCCCAACCCCTACCTTTCCTGTTTGGTAACCATCAGTTTTGTTTTTTTTTTCTGTGTCTGTGAGTGTTTCTATTTTGTAAGTATGTTCATCTGTATCATATTTTAGACTCCACACATAAGTGATATCAGATGATACTTGTCTTTCTCTGTCTGACTTGCTTCATAAGTATGCTAATCTCTGGGTCTGTCCATGTTGCTGCAGATGGCATTATTTTGTTCTTTTTATGGCTGAGTAGTACTCCATTGTATATGCATACCACATCTTCTCTATCCATTCACCTGTCAGTGGGCATTTAGGTAGTTCTGCGTCTTGGCTGTTGTAAATAGTGCTGCTATGAACATTGGGGCACATATATCTTTTTGATTTTATAGAGTTTTTTGTTTTTTCAGGGTATATGCCCAGAAGTTGGATTGCTGGATCATATAGTAGTTATATTTTTAATTTTTTAAGGGACCTCCTTCCTGTTTTCCATAGTGACTGCACCAAGTCACATTCCTACCAGTAACGTGGGGGGGGGGGTCCCTTTTCTCTACACCTTCTCCAGCATTTATTGTCTGTAGAGGGTTATACACTCTAAAGGGTGCATACAGTTATATTTAAGTGAAAGCATTGCTGAAGTGGCCGGTGTACCTGGTCGGATCTGCACTGAGCCCCTAGCTCCTATGGTCTTACACTTGCCTGTCCTGTATGTTATATCCTCTGCCTGCGTGCCACAGGCGTTCAAATCCCTGGCTTCGGGAGCAGAGTCTTGAGAGTGTTTTCCAACTGGATTATCTCTTGTTTCTCGTTTCTTCTGCCTGAGAGCAGGTCTGGGCCACATCATCCTTTAATTTAGACGACACAGCAGAGATGTGTTTGACGGCCAGATGCTGAAGTGGGTCAGGTTGCTCTGTGTCCGCATCAGGGCCCTCCCCGGACAGCAGGTGCCCATCTGGAGACTCCTTCACTGACTTCTCTGACTCCACTGCCCCTGGGTTGCTGCTCCGGATGAGAGAGACGTCCGTCTCCTGTCCCCTCCCCATTGTGCCAGGTCAGTAGGACGGGAACCCAGCACCAGGCTGGTCTCAGAAGGACAAGACAGTGGAGGGAGCAGAGAGCTGTATGTCTGGGCCACTGGAGGATATGAGAGTGCCTTGGACTTGAGTCCCAGTGGGTGGGGAAGAAAAGTCAGAAGGGACGGGTTGTTCCCTTGGCTGGTCTGAAATTGGCAGTCAACCCCTGACCATCTTCCTTTGCAACAGACATGGAAGGTAGAAACTTCTCTCCTCATTTCTCAGGTGGGGAAACCAAGGCTGCTAAGGTGAACGAGATGGCTCAGTGCTAAAGAATCCATCTGCCAACGCAGGAGATGCAGGTTTGATTTCTGGGTTGGAAAGATCCCCTGGAGAAGGAAATGTCAACCCACTCCAGTATTTCTTGCCTGGGAAATTTCATGGACAGAGGAACCTGGCGGGCTGCCGTCCATGGGGTCACAAAGAGTCATGCTGAGTGATTGAGCGCACACACACACACACACACACACACACACACATGAAACCCACCCAGGGACTTAAGACAGCAGTGATTTGTGATTTTCCCACAATTCTGCGGCTGGGGTGCAGCTGGATGGTTCTACTGGTCTCCCCTGAGCCCAACTGTGCAGCCTGGAGCTTGGCAGGGAGCTCAGCTGTGGCCAGAGCGTCCAAGGTGCCCTCATTTGCTGGGGCATCTCTCCACAGAGCCCCTCTTTGGGAGGTAGTCGAGCCTGGACCTCTTCAGAGCATGGCAGCCAGGCTCCAAGAGAGAAGGTGAGAGCTGCCAGTCTGCTGATGACCTAGGCTCACTGCATGCTGTTGGTCAGACCAAGCCACAGACCGACCCAAAGTGAGTAGAACAGGCACCACTTCTGGGTGTTGGGAGTGGCACGTGCTTGCACAGTGGGAGGGTTTCCTGGTGGCCTGATTGGCCTGGGTCTTCCACAAAGGGGATTTGTGGTGCAGATGTTAGGGGCTGTACTTGGAGTACCGGCTGGGTGGGAGCCCAGAGAGGGAACAATGGACTTTGGCTGGGGTGGGGAAAGAGAGAAGGCTTTCTGGAGGATGTGGGACCTCGTCTTGGGTGGCTCCTTAGTGCAGTGATTGAGAGGGAGGCTCTGAAGTCATACTGCCTGGATTCACATCCCAGTTTCAGTTGCCAAGAGTTTGGACCAGTCACTTGAGCTCTCTGCCTCAATTTCCTCATCTGTGAAATGGGCATAACAATCACCCTTGCCTCATAACGCAACAGGATATTTCTGTAGTGCGCTCAGCACTCAGTCCAGCACATAGTGAGTTCTCAGATGTTAGCTGCCCTTGCTGTTACTGTGGTTAAAATCCCGGTGATAATGTGACATTGATGGTGTGGAGGATTATCCAGACTAAGAGGTACAGGAACAAGGGTGCTAAGCAGAGGGAGAAGTCTCTCCTCAGTCCAAGAGCTGAGAGAACCTGATACCTAGAAGGAATGGAAAGGAAGCTTGTATAGCAGATGGGCAGAATTTGGGGAGATGGTGGTCACAGGCTGGAGAGGTAGGTGGGGGTAGACCACAAAGCCTTTGTGAGGCAAGGAAAGGATTTGAGGATTTTATTTTAAGGGTAGCAGAGACCCATTGGAGCAGGGCCCTGATGGGGCCAGGGTGATGCTTTGTTGTGATCTGGCCACAGTGGTGGCAGTGAGCAGGGATGGGGTGGGTCAGTGAGTGTGGGGGCCTCTGCCTCATCCATGGCAGAAGGAAGGCGCAGGGGGCCTGGCGGTGGCAGAGAGGATGGTCAACTGGGAGGGCTTCAATGCTGCAGTAGCATGGGTGGCTGACACTCGGCATTTGACAGAACACGAAGGATGGAGGAGAGGGCAGCCTCCTGAGTCTCTGGTGTGGGGGTCGGGGTGGATCCTCTGAGGACCAGCTTGGGCAGGGGATGATGACGGCTTCAGTTGTGAAGATGCTGTGTTTGGGGGACCAGTGGAGCCTCCATGCCCTGACAAGTGAGCTTCTATTGGTAGATGGAAGGACATGTAGATGGAGAGAAGAGATGCCCATGTGCGGGGTCAGGAGGACAACATGCATGGGGCTTGGGGGCCTGCAGCCTCAGGCTCTGTCCTCAGACAGGAGAGGAATTCCTTTGATGGCAACACAGTGAGCTTAAGGCCCAGGAGCACGAGGAGGGTGAGAAATGAGGCTGGAGAGTCACACCAGGACCACGACGTGAAGGGACTTGGAGTGCCCTGGAATTTGCACGTGTGTTGAGAGCTGCAGATTACCCGCTGAGGGCTTTAAGCAGAGAAGTGATGTGAGAAAATCTTTTTTGTTGTTGTTTGGAAGGAAGCCAGAGCGCAGAGGGATCCCCGCTGGTGGTGGGAGAAATTAATGCTAATGCTTTGAACCCAGATTATCAAACCCTGTGATAAAGCCGGTAAGTCAATAGTGGGCGTGGGGAGCCAGGCATCAGGTGGGGAACTCATTAAATATAGATATTTGCCCATGAGTTAAGACGATTATGGAGTCTGGTTCCAAGGATTAGAGGCGCAAACAGCCTGTTGACTTCTGTCCCTTGGCAACAGAAGTCCTCGTCAGAAAGGTGTAGAGCAGCTGGGCCCCCCTTCAAACACAGAAGGGAGTTATTTAGCATCAGCACTCTCCAGCCAGATTAATCTGGCAGCCACCTCATGGAGATTTCACATCTTTCCTTCCTTCCATCCATCTACTCTTCTTCCACACCATTCACTCATCATCCCAGCCATTCCTCCCCCTAGCTTTCCTTCTCTCTCTCTCTTTCTATTCCACTATCCTCCTCTCACCAACCCATCCTTTCTCCCATCCATCCACCCAATCTTCCAACCACCTATCTGTTCCAATCAGCTCTTCCATTTTTCCTTTCATATGCCAATTTCCCACCCATCCATCCTTCTATCCAACCATCATCCATCCATCCATATCCATCCATCCATCCGCACTTCCTTCCCTTTACCCACTCATTATCCTATCCACTCATCCTTCCATCTTTCCTCCCATCCACCTAGCCTTCCCACCCAAATGGATGTTTATCCATCACCCATATTTTCATCCAGCCACCAATCTGTCCATCTATCCATCCTTCCATCCAGCTATCTACACCATGATGCTTCCATCCTTCTGTCCATCTTCTCATCCATCCATTTCCCCATCCACCATCCTTTTATCTTTCTTTCATCCAACAGTCTTCATCCATCCATGTGTCTCCATCCATAAGTATTTGGATGCCTACTGTATTTCAGGTTCTGTTCTGGGCACTCAGAAGTGACTAGCATGCAAGATAGATGAAGTCTCTTCACTCATGCAGCTGACCTACTTGAGCAGGAGACAGGTAGTAAACAAAGGTTAAAAAAAAAAAGAGAGTGATGGATGCTAGAGACATCCTGGACATCCATCCAGTCTATGAGATTGACTGGATGACTGCTTTCGGTAGAGTAGTTGGGAAGACCTGTCTCTCTTTTTCTGAGGAGGTGATATTTAAGCTGCAACCTAAATGGTCAGGGGACAAACATGAACACTGTTTTGGTGGTGGGAGGAGAGCATTCTAGATGGAAAGGGTAGCAAATGAAAAGGCTTGGTCCACGAACGAGTTTGGTGTGTTTGACAGACAGCACAGTGGTGGGGCTGGGAAGGGAGAGGCCAGCAGACAGCAGAGGGTGATGACCTGCAGGAGGATGGGGCCAGGTCCCAGGACTCTGGACGTCAAGCTGAGAGGTACAGAGAGAGGTCACCCCTGGGGAGAGTGACCCGACCTGACCACGTGAGTGTCTCCAGCCCCATCTTCCCTGCCTTTGTCCTGTATTATTTTCTTACTGCTGCTCTAACATGCTACCACAAATTAGTGGCTTAAAGCAACACAAATGTATTATCTTACAGCTCTGATGTTCACACATCTGAAGAGGGTTTTACGGAGTTAAACCAAGGTGAAACAAACATACTAGGCATCCTGTTGCAGAACTCATTGTTACCTCTTGGCAATGTATTAGGAACGTTTTCCCAAGTCAGTAAGCAGACCAATTCCCCGTTTCAGTACCGTGTGGAATCCCAGTGTCTAAATACATCTAATTCTGTTAACCGAGTAGGGGGAACATTTGTCCCCCTACCCCATTCCCATGTTTTGCAGTGATACACAGTGCGGTGATGGGCTCCCTTGAACAGGCATCTTTCTGGATTCATCTTTATTGCTGTTTGCTTACCATTCAGGCACAGGGACTAAGTCAGACCAGTCACTCTTTAGTGCAAAACACGAACTTCTTTCTCCAGCAGTGGCAGGCTGCTTCCAGCAGGGGGTGTTGTGAGTCAGTCCTACAACTGTCCTTGACACCTGGTATTCGCTTCATAATTAATGATAGGTTCCAGTCCCCGCAGAGTAGTGCCCGGGGCCGCTAACTTTCTCAGGGTCTGTTGGCAACTCTGAAATCTGTTGGAGATTTCAGATGTCTCCCTCCTCCCTTCTTTCCTTCCTTCGGTCTCTTTCTTTCTGAAGATTTCATTATGCTCACTTCCTCTACCCATCCTGGACCACTTTTCTGAGACTTCTATTAGACATGTTTATCAAGAACTGGAGATGTCACTCCTCGATTTCTGGAGGGCTGGAACAAGTGTGAAGGGGCATAGCTGGAAGCAAACTGCTTGGTGCTTGCCTCTGCGGGGTCCTCACTCAGTGAGCAGACGACCCTGGAGGCAGGTAATAGGAAAGATGCTCTGGTCAAGGGGAGGGGGCTCATGGCTCTCGGGGGTAGGGGCTGAGAGCCTCATGCATTTGTCCTCCAAGGAGCTGCCACCTCCTCCTTTCCCCAACCCTGGGAGGTCTGGGCTCTGACACTGGACAGTAGGATTTAGCTAAAACAGGGAAGGGCACTGGGGGAGAAGGCAGGACACCAGGAAGCCACGTTGCCAAGCATGTATCTGGGCTGCTTGGGCATCAGACACAGGGCACACACTGGGATTTCACCACCAAGAAGATGCCTGGGGAGGATCCAGATTCCTATGCAGTCCCTGGGGAGCAGAGCAGAGTGTGTGGACACTTCTACCTGCCTCCAGGGAGGAGAGTTCTCTTGGGCTGGCCCAGGGTGACCCAGGGTACAGGAGCTGGGCATTGTGTCGAAGGGGAGTTTTTGGGTCAGGGAAGCTGGGGCCTATGTGACTCTAGGTACTCGTGTGTATGTTCGGAGTGGGAGATCTATGTCTTGGGCCATCAGGTGACTTGGGACTCATCTCCATGTTCACGTGTCAGGGCAGCAAATGGCAGAGCCCTGGTGACAGTGTTCTGATTATGATGGAGCCATCTCAGCCCTCGACTGGCTGGGTGACCCTGGGCAAGCTACCTCTGAGCCTCGGCTTCCCCATCGGTGACACGAAGCTGATAATAGCACCTGCCTCATAGAGTTATCATCTGCATTGAGCATATGACGTTCTTGGCTTAGAGTAGGACTGCATAAGTGTGATTGTTGTTATTGTTATGCTCCCCTGGTGGCTCAGACGGTAAAGAATCTGCCTGCAGTGCAGGAGACCGAGGTTTGATCCCTGGGTTGGGAAGATCCCTTGGAGAAGGGAATGGCTACCCACCCAGTCTTCTTGCCTGGAGAATTCCATGGGGTTGCAGAGTCGGACATGAGTGAGGAACTGATACTATAGTTATCACTGTCCATACCATGTACACAAAGTTCACAAATTTCCTGTCCCAGGGGTGAAACTGCCAAGAATAAGGGGTGTGGGTAGCAGTGGGTCACAGGTTCTCTGTCACCTTTGAGCACTTGGCTGCTGCCTCAGCCCCCTATTGGGCTGGGTGTCGGGCACCCGCTCTGCACAGTCCCCTTCATAAAAGCTTTCAGCTTCGGTCAAGAGTGCAGCTGGTCCCTCTGACGTTGACGCACGTCTCTCTGTGTCCAAGACGTGCTCATCAGTCATTCACTCCTGTCTCATTTCCTGTCCTTCTGACTGATCCATGGGCGCGTGAGATCATTCCCCAGATTTTTTTCCCAGTTGCCTTTTGTTTTGTCCCCAGATCACAAGCGCCATGAATGTCAGTTATTTAGACCAACTTTCCAATTTTCTATAGAGATCACCATGATTGACATGTAATAAAAACACTGACTGTGTGTTATATTCTATACAAAGTCTTATAGATTTTTTTAAAGTTTGCACACCAGTCCTATGGGGCAGAGGCCATTATTGTGCCACTTGATGGTGGGGTGTGTGTCAGAGCGTGGATGCATTTGTGCTCCAGGGGGACATTTCTGGGAAGTGGCAGAGCTGGGATTTGAACCCAGGGCCATAGTCTTAGTAATAGGCGATCATTGTAGACAAGTTGGAAACTATAGATTAGTAATAAAGGGGCTAAAATGAAATCCACCCAATTCTACCATCCAGTGAAAGCCACCATGAGCATTCTTTTTGTTTTGGCAGTGATAGTCCCTCTTTTATTTCTAGTTATCATAACATTTGTCATATTGATTTTTCTTCATGAGTCTCATTTGAGACTTGTCCATTTTACTGATCCTTTTAAAGAACAAATTATAGTGTCATTAATTTTCTTAATTACTTTTATGTTTTTAATTTTATTAATGTAAGCTTTTCTGTTTATTTTTATGATTGACCCTCTCTTCCTCTTGCTTTAGGTTAACTTTGTTCTTTTTTTTTTCTAATTTCTGTAGATAGAGACTTAAATTATTAACTTGAGATGTTTCTTTTATTCTAATGTAAGTGTTATAAATATGCCTCTAACACTGCTTTAGCTACATAGTATAAATTTCGATATGTGCTATTTTCATTTTTATTTGAATCACAGTACTTTCTTAAGACCTCATCTTTGACTCATGGATTATTTAAAAGTGTTATTTAATGTCCAGGTGTTTGAGGATATTTCTTTTGTCTTTCTTCCATTTATTCCTATTTCAATTCCATTATGGTCAGAGAGCATACTTTGTATGATCTGATGCCTTTTAAATGGGTTAAGGTTTATTTTATGATGTAATATATGGTTTATTTTGGTGAAAGCCCCATCTGCACTTGATAAGAATATGTATTCTTCTGTTATTGAATGGAGCATTGTACAATGTCTTTTTGTTGTTTAGTTGCTAAGCTGTGTCCGACTCTTTTGCGACCCCATGAACAGTAGTAGCCTGCCAGGCTCCTCTGTCCATGAGATTCTTCAGGCAAGAATACTGGAGTGGGTTGCCATTTCCTTCCCACACCAAGCGTGTGTGTGATGGGAGAGCCAAGGCTGTGGATGGTGTCACTGTTTGTCCGGCTTGGGGCCTCCTTCCTGCCCCCCTGACATGTCACATGTCACTGAGGCTTGGTGGAGCTGGGTGGCCCCAACACCACAACTCTGGAACCCACCCCCTATCTATTTGCATTTACTAATATGCTTGGGGAGACTTTGTTATGTTAGGTTCAAGGAGTGACCACAGTCTTTGGGAGGAAGAGCTGTCCCAGAGAACAAGAGCCTGAATTGCCTGGGGGTCAGGGAGGAACAAGCCTAGTGTGCGGTCCCCTGGAGCCTCACAACGAGCCTGCTTTCCAAGAGAGCTCGGAACTAGAACTTGGAGTTAGCACAACTGGACAGAATTTCCTGAGTGTCCTGATAGGCAAGGCAGAGCCATGAGGTCCCACATAGCATGGCTGAGAAGCTGTTTCTTGGTTTTGTTCCACAGAGTAAAAACCCTTTGGCATGTCAGTTACGTTACGATGCTTACAACAAACCAAGCAGGTGCTCATCTCAGGGCCTTGGCACCTGCTTTGTCCATTGCCTGGAAAATGCCTTGACCTTCTCTCCATACAGGTGATTCATTTTCATCACTCTGATCTTGGCTAGGATGTCACCTGCTCAGACAGACCTTCCCTGCCCACCTCCATATCATTCCCCCTGCTCATGATTGCTTTATTGTCTTAATAGCACCCACCACCCTGAGATCATCTTGTTCATTCATTGGTTTCTTGTTCTGATAGGGGGAGCAACACTCCCTCTCTTCCTATGAGAATGCAGGCTCCCTAGGCCTACAGGAATACCTGGTACATAGTAGATGCTCAGTAAATACGTTTAACAAATGAATGGAAAATTTCTGCCACTGTGGTTTGGGTTCTGTCAGCTTTTGATCCAGTTAGAGGAAGCAAAAGAGGAAAGGCAGGCATTGTGTGTGTGTGTGTGTGTGTGTGTGTGTGTAAGGAATGGGGGCTGTTTTGTAGAGACTGCCTGTCTACCTCTATTTGATGGGCCTGGTTCCCCTAGAGCCATCCTCCTCTCCTGCTGTGGGGGACTCTACAAGGGGACTAATTCCAGTGGGCAGTCCACCCCCAGCTGTCCTGTCACTGGGCTCCGCCAATGGG